ATATGGTGTCAGCACACACACACACACACACACACACACACACACACACACACACACACACACACACACACACACACACACAATGTAATGTATGGGAGACAAAAGAAAGAGAGGATTTCCTGTGGAGGAAGTGTGTGTGTGTGTGTGTGTGTGTCTGTGTGTGTGTGTGTGTGTGTGTGTGTGTGTGTGTGTGTTCCCCATAGGATGTGAATGAGACATCAAGATTATTAACATGATGCCGCCAACACACACACACACACACAATGATGGTGTAATGGACTCACCATGAACGTGCTGATGTTCTCCATGTTCTCCACGTTCTCCATGTTCTCCATGTTCTTGATGTTTATGTCGGTGGTCGTGTGTATTTGCGTCGTGCTGTGACGTGTGATGGGACTTGTGGGCGTGGCCTGGCTCCGGGGTAGCCTGCATGCCGCTGCGTCGGTTGGTAGCGTTGCTGGCGTCGTACAGTTCGGGGGGAGGTGCCTGGTGGTCGTTCTGTTCACGGTTCGGGTCGCCCGGCTGGAGCTGCACGTCTGAAACACGTTTAAACAGAAGAAGAAAGAAAACGACTTTGTTTTCATCAGAAAACTGTTTCTTGAGTTTTTAGCCGTGAGGCGTTCAGTGCACCTCTGGTTCAACAACCACTGGTTACTGATTAATACTGAGGAAGATGGACGACATGACAACAAAACATCTGGATCACCCCCTGGTGGCTGTCTGCAGTATAGCTCATTAACCCCTCCTCCTCCATGTTAGCAGATGGCACATGGACCAAACTAAAAACTCAAAGTTGAATCAGTTATTTGATGACATGAAAACAGGCGGACTCCTGACTGGTCGGGTGTTCTACTCTCCAGATGCCAGTGTTTGTGTCCTCTGGGGTATTTTGGCTTCAGCGGGAGGAAGCGGAGACGCGTCTTTATTTACAGTTTATACCTCAAACATTCCAGATAAATCCTACAGACTTGTAATAAATAGTAAAAACATGGACCCTTAAAGCTTCGGTAAATTAAACTGAGGAAGAGAGAGATCAACAGGACGTGAGGCAGACAGGTGGAGAGTGAGACGTGGGCGGAGGACGATGTATTTTAAGATTTCTCAGCTGGCGTCATTGTTGAACTTTGAGTTCAGGAGAAAGAAGATTCATGTCCTGCAGAGTCCAGGACAAACACTCAGGGACAGAACTCTGAGAAAGATCTGGTGCAGACTGAAGTTGAAGGACAGTTGAGTCTTGGTGGACGTATGAGCTGATCTCTCCAGTTGTCTAGGTAACGTCCTCCTCCGTGTTCAGGAGGTGGACACGGAGACAGAAACATCTGCAGGTTGTAAAGTTGTAACGAGATGAAGACTCACCTCTGGATCAGCAGGTTCCTGTCATTGTGTTTTAATCACATCGACTTCAGCCGCACAGGAAGTCAGTTCAATCAGAGGCGTGGTGTTTCAGTAGTTTTCTCTGCCACACGTACCCTGCAGTACTACATGTACCCTGCAGTACTACACATATCCTGCAGTACTACAC